TGGGCATCTAAGGTGAGACGAAGGACCTGTGGAGTCAGTCCTTGCTCCACCCAAGGAAATCTTAGTCAAATAAACAAACAGCCAACACAGTGGCTCCTGTGCGAGAAGCCGAGAAGCCGTGGGAGTGAGAGTGATAAGGGAGGCCACAGAGGTGGGGAGGCCAGGAGAGGGCAGGGAGGCTGTTTAAACAGGCCCCTTGGCCTGGGGCAGTTGGCAGAAATATTTGGAACAGGGTGGGGAACACAGTCGTGGTTTGGAGCAGGAAGCTGGGGCCTGGGGTGGGTGGGCTGAGCTTGGCTCCTTCCAGGAGAAAGAAAAGTGTCGATTCAGCCCCACTCTGGTCAACGCCTCTTCTGAGGGAGACTCCAAGTCCCAGCGCCCTTCCCTCAGTTCAAGGTCAATCAGGTCAACCAGACAGACAAGGGGCTCTATCCCTTATCTCCCAGATGGCTCTGGACCCCCAGCCCTGCTCCCAGGCCTATGACCCCGGGCCTCATCACTGAAGAATGTTTCAGTCTGGAGCTGAAACCTCAGAGTTCTCAACAGAGGAGCTGGAGGGAATGAGCCATCAGCTCTCTTTTTTTTTTTTTTTTTTTTGAGAGAGAGGGTCTCACTCTGTCATCCAGACTGGAGTGCAGTGGCATGATCTCGGCTCACTGCAACCTGCACCTCCCAGGCTCAGGTAATTCTCCTGCCTCAGCCTCCCAAGTACCTGGGATTATAGGCACCCATCACCATGCCAGGCTAATTTTTTGTACTTTTTTAGCAGAGATGAGGTTTTACCATGTTGGCCAGGCTGATTTCTAACTCCTGACCTCAAGCAATCCACCCACCTTGGCCTCCCAAAGTGCTGGGATTACAGGTGTGAGCCACTGCTCCCGACCCATCCACTCTCCTTAGGACATGATATTCCCTTTCTTGCCTCCTTGCCTGGCAGTGGAGGGGCCCAGAAGTGATCGTGGTCCCCTGGGAGGCATTATCACCTTCTTTTTTTTTTGAGATGGAGTTTCACATTTGTTGCCCAGGCTGGAGTGCAATGGTGCAATTTTGGCTTGCTGCAACTTCTGCCTCTCAGGTACAAACGATTCTCCCACCTCAACCTCCCAAGTGGTTGAGATTACAGGCATGTGCCACCATGCCCGGCTAATTTTGTATTTTTAGTAGAGACGGGGGTTCACCATGTTGGCCAGGCTGGTTTCGAACTTCTGACCTCAGGTGATCCACCCACCTCAGCCTCCCAAAGTGCTGGTATTACAGGCGTGAGCCACTATGCCTGGCTGTCACCTTCTTTTAGGACTCTTGGCTGTCCTTTTCCTGAAACTCCTCAAGAGACTGAGGCAGAAAGTCAGAGGGATACACGTCCAGACTGACAGGCAGAGATAGAGAGAGGTGAAGATACAGCAAGTCCCACCCAGAGAGATAGCCACGCAGTCAGACACTAAGAGTGGGAGTGTGAGAAAGAGGGACAGAGAGAGAAGGGGTAGACAGAGGAGGCAGAGAAAAAGGAAGAAGAAAAGACAAAGAGAGAAAGACACACAGAAAAAGAGCTGACGGGTGGAGAGGAGAGACAGCGATAGCAAAGGACAGTGTCAGGAGAGGGGAAAGGACAGAGATGGCGGGCACGCAGGAGGCTCAGGGCCAGACACACTCATAGGCGGAAGCAGAAAGGCTCACGAGAACTACACAAGAACAGACGGCCTCAGGATCCAGAGACACTCTCCTGGGAGATGTGGGGGAGCCAAAGTGCTGGGGGGTCGAGCCCCACTGGGGGGTGGCCTCACCAGGGCAATGCTGCTGCCTCCTGTTCCCAAAGCTGAACCAACTGCTGCCGGCGTCTGGCCCCCAGCCACCCTCTAGTAAGCCAACCCTTGGCCACTGGAGCCAGCAGGTCACCCAAGGTGAGTGAAAAGTCACCAATAAGGGACAGTGAAAGTGTGACTGGGGGTGTGGGTGTCACAAGCCGTGTGTGTCAGGGTGGGTCTGCAAGGGTGGCCACACCCCAGATTGCACCTGGGGTGGGATTTAGGAGCGCTCAATCCTCTACACAGACCTCTGGGAGTTAGTGCAGGCGGGCATGTGTACCTGAGTGAGTTTGTGAGTGTGTGTACATGTGTGTGTGTCCAGTTCCATTAAGAGCCTCACGATGCTAATGAGGCCAAGGTGGCAGGCTGTTCCTCAAATAGCCCAGTCGGAAGCGATGAGTGAGCAGAGACAGCCACAACAAAGGTTTCGTGCCTCTCTTCTGAACAGACGGTGTGTCCAGGTGCCACAGGGCACTCGACTACAGTCAACACCAGAGTGCCATTCATTCCCGCTGGGGATGACCCCCACCGCCTGGCCAGCTGACCCCACACTCTCCCCTGTCCCAAGCCCAAACTCCAAACTCATGGGAGAACCCACATGATAGACACATGGTCCCTCCTTTGCTGCAGGCGCAGCTCCCTCTGAGAAGGGCAGCTGGAGGGATGGTGGGGTCCAACCCTGGATTTCCCCCAGGCTAGCTTCCATCCCGCCTGCTTCTGTGGCCCCATTTAGTTCCCTCCTTGCTCCTGGGGTCCAGTGACCCACACCCTCATCACACACAGGAGAGAAGTAATCTCTCCTCCCCAGCCCTTCTCTCTCAAGTATCACAGGACATTTAAAAAAAATTGTCCCAGTTTTGTGGTGGATAATGAGGTCAGGAGGCCCACGGGGGAACTGCTTGTTGGTGACAACTGACAATCTTCATTTCACCTTGAAACTCCTTCCTGGTCCAGGTAAGCATGTTCTAAGCCCAGTTTTATGGGGGTGCTGTTCTACTGGGGGACAGGGAGAGTGGGGAAGGAATTAACCAAATGGCAGCTGAAGTCACAGGCCCAGCCAGGCCCACCTGGAACACTCACAGGGCCTGGGGCAAGGGGATAAATGGCGACCCACAGACATATGTCTAAATGTTTAAAAGTTATAAATCAAACCAGCAAACTGTGAAATATGTTCTAACCTCTCACCCTGACAAATACACCTTCACTAACAACCTGGAGGACCAGATGCAAATTTGGATTTGTCTGCCTCCTGAGCTTTACGCATCAGAACGGCTCTGTGCAGAGGAGACAGCTCCACTCGCACCCTGGCCACCCACTCCCTGCTGCCAGGTCCTGTCTGCACCACAAAGGACATGTGCATATATAAGGACACCCAGCCTCCTGTCCTAGCTCCATCCACAGCCCCTGCAAATAGAGTCCCTTCACTGTCCCTAGGGGTGCACACACTATTGACATAACCTATCCTGAGGCGGACAGACCCAGGGAAGAGGATGGCATGGGCTGGGAGCCAGATGGTGACCATCTGGGCAGGGACCTCCAGAGTCACAGGTATGGAGAATGTGGTCTTGGAGGGGACTCACAGTCTTATCCCCTCGGCCCTGCTGATGCCTCATCCCACAGGGAGAGGACTGGCAGCAGGAGGGCCAGAGTGGAGCCTTTGAAAGCCCCCAGCTTAGGGCATGGGCACTCCCTCCCTTGCCCAGGTTTAAGGGTGCTACTGAACTCAGCCTTCCCTGGCAGCCTAGAGATCAGGCCAGGGCCTGAAGCCCTTCTTCCATTGGAGGACAGCTTGGACAATCCCCAAACAGGACTTTCAGTCACTTGTATTGTTTTTCTTCCTGGAAAAATTTAGTGCGGATTGATCCCAACTTGTGGATTTCTGGAGGTGGGGAGGGCAGAGTTGTGATGACAAGAGGGCATTTTTTTCAGGTTGGATCTCCAAGCCAGAGCTTGTTCCACTGAGGCACAGGCCCAAGTGAGCTCCTGCTAGCACTGGTCCCTTCCTTGGGGGGGGCGAGGGGGGACTGTCTCCCCCCTACAGAGACACAAGCCAACACAAACAAGGTGACTAAAAGAGGAGGAGGTGAGGGGCCTTGGGCAGCCCAGATAGGTCCAGAGATCCAGGAGCCAGCAGGGGGAAGGGGCTGGTCGGGGGGCATGCAGTAAATGGCACTCATTCTAGCCAAGCTTAGCTTAAAAAAAAAAAAAACAAAAAAAAAAAACCCTTCCACTCCCCCCTCCCCTGCTTGCCCTCACCCCTGCAGATCGGCTTTGCTGTCCGACACATGAGGGGACACTTGTACTTTCTGAGCACTCGCCAGGCGCCAGGCACTGTACTAAGCGCTCTACATGTGTACCCTCATTTAATCCTTGCAGCCACCCTATGAGGTGGGTTCTACTATTATCCCCATTTTACAGGTGAGGAAGTGAACTCAAAGAGGTTAAGAAACTCGTTCAAGGTCACGCAGTAGGTAGAGGTGTTAGAACTCAGCTCTAACTGACCGCAAAGCCCCTACTCTTTCCACTAGAGCACATGGCCTCCCAGAAGCAAGAAGCTGGCACGGACCCAGAAGGGATGAAGGTCAGATATGAGAATGACCTTCTGCCTCTGATGGTTTGTGTGGTGGAATAAGGCAATGGAATGGGGAATGTAGACAGACAAGGAACCCCCCCTCCCCCCATTGTCACCCGTGTCTGTCCAAAGGCTTATGATGATCTCAGGAAGGTCCCCAGGGTCCTAGCTGGACCCAGACGGCAATGTCCTGACTTCCCTTTGTTCTACAACCCAGGGTCCTCTGCTCTACCTCAACCCAGCACCAAGACCCAAAGGCTGCCTCTCCTTAGAGGCTCAGAGCTCTGAGCATCACATTCAAGCTGTCAGCCCAGGTCCTCCTCTTCCAGGAAGCCTTCCTCGAGGTCCTGGGAGGCAGGACCCCTTTCCTACAGCTCAAATCTCAACACGGAGGGTGCAAATGCTCCCCTGTCTACAATAAGGCAACATCTGCGATCATCTTCCCCAGCTAGGTCTGTGACACAGACACAGAAAAGATCTACTGAGTTCCCAGACTTTCTGGGTTCCCTAGGCCATGGGGTAATCCCCCGCTCACTCCCCTGTACCCAGATGTAAATAAATGATGCAGATGCCTTGGGGCTCATTAGAAAACCCAGGCCCCAGCTCGGCTATGCGGCGGCTCTTACCTCATTAGCCCACAGAACAGAAGCCGTTTGGGTCAAGCCATCACCCTCTATGGTGGGGAAGAGGCTGCCCTTGGATGAGGCATGGGGCACTCTCAGTCAACGAGGTTCCTTACTCCGGAGCCCGGTCGTCACCATCCCCAACCTAGACACCCAGAAAGCTGGGTGTCTAATGCCCGGCTCTTTCTTATCCATCCTTTGGAGCCCGCCTGGTATCAGGGATAACGAGCCAGGACCCTCTAACTGCCCCAGAGTTCAGTCCCGCCCAGCAGATGCCCAACGTCGGCGCGCAGAGCCGAGATAGGGATATCCTCACTGTCCCTTGGGGTCCCCCAATTTTGAGGCGAGAGGACCGGACAGGTGGAAGGGGCTGCCTCGTTCTCCCGCGCTGCCCTCGAGGTCCTCGGTGTGGACCAGCCCGCGTCGCCGTCTTACCTGCGGGGCAGAGACGGAGCCCGCCGCGGCCACCTGCTCTCGCCTGGCTGGGAACGCTGCGTGTCGGGCTGGCCGGGAGGGGCGGGGCCCGGCGGGGCAGGGGCGGGGCTGGGAGGGGGAGCCGGGCCGGCCCCTCCTCGAGGCCCCGCCGGTGGGGTGCGCGGGCTCATTCAGGTGGGACGCCCCGGGGAAGCATCTGGGCCACAGGGAGGACCCGGAGCTCGAGTTCTGAAGGCTGGGAAGTTAGGACTCCGGGGGGGTGCGGGGGATGGGTGGAAATCCCCGGCTTCAGACAGCCTTGCCCAGATGCCCTGGAGCCGGTGACTTCATATAAAGACCCCTCACACGAAGAAGAAAGCTCAGAAACCTCTCCTGGCCTGAGTCCCCTTCCATCTGAGCTCTTCGGGCCTGGCAGGGTGGGTGTGAGACGGGACACGCCTCTAAAGGTAGGGTGCCCTCTCCAGGGCTCAGCTGTGTAGGGGCTTAGGCCGCTGAGGGGGCCATTAGGCACCCAGACCATCTTTATCCTCAGCCCATCTCTCTCCCTGCCACACAGCCCCTCCTCCGCCCCCAGCGCCAGCCCAGGTCCCCCAGCTGTCACTGTTTAGCCCTGGAATGACAGGCGTCCTGACTCCGTGAGTCTAGCCACATTCAAGGCCGTTGAGCTTAGCACCCCTGAGCCCCTGCCCCCTCCCTCTGCCCCCTGTCGCTAATTTTATTGACCTGTAAAAGGCACGTTGCTGGCAGGCAGTATACTAACTGAAGGCAAAGTGGGGAGCGGAGGAGCAACTCTCCCCGGGGGGGAGGCAGCTGGAGATGGGACAGGAGGGAGGAGGAAGGAGACTCCTGCATCCAGGGCCAAGGACACTCGGAGAGGAGGAGGAAGGGGGCCTTGGGAAAGAGGGGTACACTGTCTATGGGAGATGGTAGCCAAAAAGACTGGAGCTGGAATTTCAGCCCTCCCTCAGACAAGAGGCCTACAGAAAAAAGAAAATGCTAGGAGAAGAGAGGGTGCATTTCGCATCCACCTGGGGACAGAACCAAGGATGTAGCAGGAGGGAAGGAGGGTAGACGGCAGGAAGGACTGCCATCCTGCTCTCCAATCTCTGCCCTGTCCCCCTCCCTTCCTCTTGAAGGTGCCTCCTGCCTGCTGGGCCTTTTACTACAGAAATAGCCCTTTCCCTGATGAAGCAACCTAGATCTTGCCTTTCTTTTTCTTTCTTGTTAAAATGAGAACAGAAAATTTAGGCCTTTGTAATTTTCCCCACCCCTATGCCTACCTGAGCCCACCCCTCAAATCCTGGATCTCAGCCTCTCCCCAGCCTAGGGGAGATGACCTGAGGGTTAAGTGACGGTAGAGAGGGGAACATTGGGGTTGGAAGCTATTATGGGGTAGGGGGAGCAGGAATCCCTCACACTCTTGATGGGCCTCAAGTTTAGACTGTTGATACTCTTTATGAATAAGGCTTAGGAGAGCTATTAAAAAGGAGTGTTTAAAACTTTTTTTTTTTTGAGACGGAGTCTTACTCTGTCACCCAGGTTGGAGTGCAGTGGCACGATCTCGGCTCACTGCAAACTCCGTCTCCCAGGTTCAAGCGAGTCTCCTGCCTGAGCTTCCTGAGTAGCTGGGATTACAGGGGCCCACCACTACGCGAGGCTAATTTTTTTTTTTTTTTTTTTGAGACGGAGTCTCGCTCTGCCGCCCAGGCTGGAGTGCAGTGGCCGGATCTCAGCTCACTGCAAGCTCCGCCTCCCGGGTTTACGCCATTCTCCTGCCTCAGCCTCCCCAGTAGCTGGGACTACAGGTGCCCGCCACCTCGCCCGGCTAGTTTTTTGTATTTTTTAGTAGAGACGGGGTTTCACCATGTTAGCCAGGATGGTCTCGATCTCCCGACCTCGTGATCCGCCCGTCTCGGCCTCCCAAAGTGCTGGGATTACAGGCTTGAGCCACCGCACCCGGCCGAGGCTAATTTTTGTAATTTTTAGTAGAGATGGGCTTTCACTGTAATGGCCAGGCTGGTCTCAAACTCCTGACCTCAGGTGATCTGCCTGCCTCAGTCTCCCAAAGTGCTGGAATCATGGGCCACCGCGCCTGGCCTAAAACTTTTAACACTAGGTCAGGCACAGTGGCTCATGCCTGTGATCCCAGCACTTTGGGAGGATCACCTGAGCCCAGGAGTTGGAGACCAGCCTAAGCAACATAGTGAGACCTTGTCTGTACACTGCCTCTCTAACCCCCCAAAATTAGGTGTGGTACATCTGTAGTCCAAGGTACCAGGGAGGTTGAAGTGGGGGGATTTCTTGAGCCTGGGAGGCCGAGGCTGAAGTGAGCCATGATTGCACTATGGCACTCCAGCAGGAACAGAGCGAGTCCCCGTCTCAAAAACAAAATAAGAACAAAAACAAAAAAACACAAGGCCGGGCCCAGTGGCTCATGCATGTAATCCCAGCACTTTAAGAGGCCAAGGTGGGTGGATCACCTGAGCTCAGGAGTTTGAGACCAGCCTGTTGGGCAATGTGGTGAAACCCTGTCTCTACCAAAAATACAAAAATTAGCCAGGCATGGTGGTGGGCACCTGTAGTCCCAGCTACTTGAGAGGCTGAGGCAGGAGGATCACTTGAGCCCCAAAGGCAGAGGTTGTAGTGAGCTGAGATCTCGCCACTGCACTCCAGCCTGGGCGACAGAGTGAGACTGTCTCAAAAAAACCAAACACTTTTAACACTAAAAATTACCACAAAGCAGGTCATTTTATGGGGAAGAGCCAGAGGTATGGATTGCACTGGGGCACCAGGAAACTTTTGTTGTTCTTTGAAAATTCCACTGGAGGCCGGGCGCGGTGGCTCAAGCCTGTAATCCCAGCACTTTGGGAGGCCGAGACGGGCGGATCACGAGTTCAGGAGATCGAGACCATGCTGGCTAACACGGTGAAACCCCGTCTCTACTAAAATACAAAAAAAATTAGCCGGGCGAGGTGGCGGGCGCCTGTACTCCCAGCTACTCGGGAGGCTGAGGCAGGAGAATGGCGTGAACCCGGGAGGCGGGGCTTGCAGTGAGCTGAGATCCGGCCATTGCACTCCAGCCTGGGCAACAGAGCTAGACTCCGTCTCAAAAAAAAAAAAAGAAAATTCCACTGGAAGAAACAGGACATTTTGAAGGTGATGGCTATGTTCATTATCTTGATTGTGGAGGATATGCATGTTAAAACGTATCCAGGCCAGGCATGGTAACTCATGCTTGTAATCTCAGCACTTTGGGAGGCTGAGGCAGGGAGATCGCGTGAGGTCAGGAGTTTGAGACCAACCTGGCCAACATGGTAAAACCCCATCTCTACTAAAAATACAAAAAATTAGCTGGGCATGGTGGTGGGCACCTGTAATCTCAGTTACTTGGGAGGCTGAGGCAGGAGAATCACTTGAACTCAGGAGGTAGAGGTTGCAGGGAGCCAAGATCGTGCGACTGTACTCCAGGCTGGGCAACAATAGTGAAACTCAGGCTCAAAAAAAAAAAAAAAAAAAAAAAAAAGTACCCAGGCCGGGCGCGGTGGCTCAAGCCTGTAATCCCAGCACTTTGGGAGGCCGAGACGGGCGGATCACAAGGTCAGGAGATCGAGACCATCCTGGTTAACACGGTGAAACCCCGTCTCTACTAAAAAATACAAAAAACTAGCCGGGTGAGGTGGCGGGCGCCTGTAGTCCCAGCTACTCGGGAGGCTGAGGCAGGAGAATGGCGTGAACCCGGGAGGCGGAGCTTGCAGTGAGCTGAGATCCGGCCACTGCACTCCAGCCTGGGTGACAGAGCGAGACTCCGTCTCAAAAAAAATAAAATAAAATAAAAAAAAGTACCCAATTGCACACTATACACGCAGTTTATTTTCTACCAATTGTATTTCAACAAAATTAAGATACCATGCATTTTCTATCCCATTTTTTCATTTACTTTTTTGAGGAGCCTCAAAAAATAGAAGTGGCCTTGGTAGGGAAGGAATGTCGTGATTCTGAGTACAGTATGGCAAATTATTTTGCCTCAGTTTCCCTAACTCCATCCAGTGCATATGAAAGTGTCTATGTGTGTGCAGGGTAGGTCTGGGCTGAGCTCTGGCCCTCCAGTTGTTTCCCCGTTGTGGGAGCCTAAGCCAGGGTGCCCAGGACTCCTCTGTGGCTGGTGGGCCTGATGCCCACAGCTGGCGATTCAGGAAGGAGGGGCCTGGACCAGGCTGTGTCCCGGGAAAGATGACGGCTGCTGCGGACTCTCCCGCCCCCTACAGCCCGAACCGGGTACTGCAGCAACGAGGTGCTCAGTCCAGGGAGAGGTCCGAAAGGTTCTGGGCACAATGCTGCAGGAAGTCAAAGTCAGGCACGGAGAAGGGCACGCGGGACCACTTTTTGGCCTGGATCCGCCCTTGAGGGGTCTCCAGCAGCATGCTGCGGACTTTCAGCGCTGGCAGCTTCACTGACTTGTAGATCATCTGCAGTCCCCAGATCTGGAGGTGACAGACAGTGTAGGGTCTGGGTCTCTGGCCTCAGACTGGGCTTCTCTCAAGTTGGAATTCCCTGAATACAGGGCCTTTTCCTCCCACCTGAGATGTCACAGACTATGGGCTCCCTTAGGCAGGGGCTGTACCTCCCTCTTCAGACTGGAGGCCATGGGGTGGGACTGTCTCCTGTGTCCTAGTGAGGGCTCCCTGAGGGCCTCTGAAGACTGGGGCTGAGGACTCTGGGGCCTGGGACATGGCCCAAGCTCTTACCTCCCCACAGTTCCTGCAGCTGATGACACCCCCAGGTTTCCAGTCCTTGAAGACTTTGTTGATGACCACAGGATCCCTGGAGACGTTATAGTAGATCCTGGAGAGGAAGGGGAGTGGCTACAGCCCTCATTGACCCTCCTCAGCCCCAGATCTCATGCCCTCCTGCCGGCCAAGCCTCTGCCTGGACCTTGGGCCTTCCTGCTGGTCAAGA